GGTTAAGCACTGTTTATTCTAAAATTAGAACGCAGCCCACACCATAAGCGAACCTCCACCAAACGTCCTGGAACTGATGTATTTCGGTTCTTAGGGCATGTGGTACGAAGAATAGGACCATCCGTCAGGGGTGCACAAATTAAATTCTGCCACATGACTGAATACCACTGCATTTTACCGATCAGCCCATGTGACATACTAACAAGGAATCCTTCTTTTGGGGTTCGGAAATGACCGTAGCTTATTCATTGCTGATTTGCAAAAGTTCAATTTTCTCGTTCTTTCACTTCCGTTAGCTTACATTTCATTGTGTGCCAGTGTGTTAAATTTAGCAATCCATGTCAAACTTGCAGAGCACATTCGACAATCATAAACGACGTCAGAACAGCCAGAGACAAGCTGTTTCGGTCATGCAATCGTGATGAGACCATGCGCAGCGCGTTAGTCTCATCGATCGGCACTCATCATGTGCATTTGTAGCGAAATTTTTACTACTCTCGTTACCAATGGTAACTATAGTCAGGTTTCAGCCCAAGTACTATTGCTCAGATTTGATCGTTGAAAACTTTAATTGATGACTGACTTAGAAAAGGAATTTTTCGCAACTAAAAAAACAGGTACACTTATACATAATTGAGGGATATTTGAGTGTTGTGAGGAACAACGGTTCGAGAATACTTACAATATTCACCCACGAATGTTCTGCCGTTAGAAATTGTCTCATACACGCCTGAACGTTAAGTGCACGAATAGAGCCACACCCGTTCATCTCTATCCATCTTGGGACTACCCGCACACACACTGGTGCTCATTCTTGTTGACGAAATGACACGACAGACAAAGACGACCTCGAGAATCCAACCAAGGCTAGCAAAGGTCTGTGTGAATTAGACCGGTGGCGAGATCAGCCAACTGAGTACCACCCACGTAGATGCCGTCAAACCATCCGTATGAAAGGCCTGGGTGACACACACACACATGTCCATGAGGGGCGAGGGGAGGAGGATGAACAGAAGCCATCATTTCGTGCGCAAAATCTTTATCTCACCCCGTGTGAGGGAGGTGACCTCCAAAGGTCTTTCAAGTTTGAGTGACCCTTTGACCGAAATAATCCATGAACGAATATCCGATGAACAGCCCGACACTGCGCAAGTCACGCGTCACGATAGCCTTCCTTATTCCAGGGGTGAGTTTTATGAAATCATCCAGGATAAGGAGAGATAAGAACGGTCATTAATGACGTCAAATAAAACTGCGGGCGATTTTCGGCTTGTCATCAAACTATGGTAAAATCTACATCTTATGTCATTCGAGGATTTCCTCGGGAAGAGTAAGTAAAGCATCAGTCCTCATTGCGTTCAATCACACGCAAATTCTACCTGAGCGTATTGTGTTCCCACAATACAGCGAGATGCAGACCCGTAACAATAAGGCGCAGTTCACCACATAACAATAACGTTCGACAGGCAGTGCGTGAAAAGTTTTTGAGGCCTCCTGTTGTCCTCACGGTTTTTTTTTTAAATCTGAACATAATCCAACATGCACTGGATGAGAAGACTAACAAATTTTAAAAAGCCACCCCATGGTTTGCGCTACTGATCCGAGGAGCTTGCAGCGATGCAATTATATTTAGCGGAGATTAGGGTCAAAATAATTTTATTGCCCGATCCTACCTTTTAATGCAGTTAGCCGGATTAAATGCACACCTCGAATTTTTGCGAAACACGAAATGCACTTTCGGGGGGACGGTGGTTCGCTATGCGGCTGTCGTCCCCATGTGGGCTTGCAAGGATGCCAGATGTTTCGGAATGCAGCTGAAAACTGGGACATAAACAAATCGGAAAATAAACTATAGCAAATCGCCTTAAAGATGGATCTATAAGATGAAGCGGTCGGTATTCTCGTGTGGGTTGTTATCACAATAAACAGATTGAAACAATTGTTTCAGTTCGATATCTGGAAATAAGAACAGATGCGTTTAAAGCAACAGCATCATCAATTCAATAGGCGAAATTCCAAAAAAAAAATCGAAAACTAAAAGCGCATTCTATTCCGTTTGGTAATATCTACATTTTGTTGTCCATTCCAGTTCCATCGATATCCAGCAAGGTTGTGCGCTTCTTTCATTTCTGGCTTTACGTTCCCGTGCTTCACACTTTCCTTCAGTAACGAAACGTCTATTTGGGTGGGCTTTAATGAGGATCAAACTTAATAAGTTGAATGAAGAACTGGCGGTTTTCTGAGCATAACAGTATTCCATCGTTTAGAACCCAGTATAAACAGGCCTCGGAATAAATGATAATCCAAATATTACGCACTTTACTTTAAACAAGAACACATTTCCGACTTTTGAAATGCTGAAATCCTCGGTCAGGTTAGAACGAGCCAATCAAGAGAATTTCTCGGAGCATGGTTATCATCAGAAAATCTCGTGAACCGACACATCGACACATNGACACATCTATCAAACCTGCACTACCCAAAAAAAAACGAATTAAGATTAGCCGAACTGGAGCTGAGTGGGACCACTTCACATTAACACAGCAAGTGATGCCAGAAAGAAAAATAGCAATGCCCGTTCCACTATTCACCGACCAAGTGAATACGAGGGAGAACCGATCCGGTATCGTTGCATTATACCAAGTCACTTAGCGACTTACATAGGATAAAGGATATTTGTAAGCTGCCACATACCAACTGCATTGGGAATATCATCTAAGCTGTGGATGAAACGTTTTCCAGGTGAGCCGGAACATTGAGTAACATATTACGCTCGAGTGAACACAGAGAATGTGATACAGTCATTTCTAACATTGCGTGCTTGTGCACAGTAGGGACAAAGTAGTACAACTGAGCCAAGAAGTAGACACTCCTAGATTGTAGCTCATTGAAATCATATAACGAAGATTAGACGTAAACCCTGCATGAACTCGATGACTAATTTCGGCAATTGCAGCAAACAACTGGCCGAATCGACAAAAACCAGCTTCCGCAACGATGCTACAAATAATTTACAAGGATTATTGAACATGCATCTCATATGCGTTTTTATCAATCGTGGATACATTACAGGTAAATCAATCATACAAACATATAAAGAACTCACATAATTTTCTTTGAATACTTCAGCGTATGATCAGAGGAAGTACTTTATTTTTATCCTGTACGGCAGCAATAAAATCTCACAATATGTGAATGACAGTTGCATGAAGATGAATACGGAAGATAACTTGAATGCTAACTGCATCTCTAAGGCAAGCTTAGCTACGACAGCGAACCACGACCCCCACAGTACACACACAACACACGTGAGAAACTGGGTAAAACTGAGTAGAAGTAGCTTTGTTAAACCTTAAATCTAAGACTGCAAACAACCTCAACCGGATCCAAAAGGAAGCCGACATTTTGTTGACTTAACATAAATATGAGCACCATAGAAACCTCAAGTGGTTCATG